CTTTAGCTTTACAGATGAATTCAAATCTAAACAATCCTACTGCAGCATTATATTAATTAGGCAGTTTTCCAAAGATGGAGAACATCATACTAATCTAGTTGTGATGTTTTGAGGGTTCGTAATTTATTTATTTATTTATTTTTGAGGGTACTGGGGATTAAACTTGGGTCCTTGTGCTTGCGCAGCAGGTGGCGAAACCACTGAGCTAAATCTCTGGCCCAATATTTTGTTTTTTGGTTATTTTGGTTTTTTTGGTACCAGGGATTGAACTCAGGCCCTTGTGCTTAAGAGGCAGGTGATGTAGTAGAACTCAATGTTTCTACCACTTTCCAACACCCCACCCTGAGGAACAAGACTTTCACACATGGGTCTTTGGTGTCATCCAAGATCCACACTATAGAATCTGCATGCGATTTTGTTTTGTTGCTTTAGTGGCCCTGTGAGGGAGCAGGGTCTTATGTCTCTCCTACACCCAGGAAAGGGAGAGGTTTGTAGGAGAGACTAAGGTTGCCTAGTGCACAGTGGGGCCTCTCCTGGCTCCCTGGAGGACTTGAACTCATGAGATAATGGGCAAGAAAGAGCTTAGCTTGTTTGCAGGAGTGATGTGGCCACACCACACCAAGCACTGCAGGCTGGGCTGTCACTTAGGGTGCAGTGGACCTGGAGTATCCTAACACCATACACTTGGAGGATGCCTAGCCTCTGATTGATTCACTCACTGTGCAAAGACTATTCCTATCTCCAGTGGTGCTGAGGACCCACTCATAATCACCAACTCTTAGCATAATCTGTGTCCCATAAGTCAAATGAAGACAGAAACCCCAGCTGATGTTGCCAGGTGCTTCTTATTGTGCACTAACCTTCACACATTTCCTCCTCATGACACCCAATGAGATGAGGACTCATCCTCCTTTACAGCTAAGGAAACTGAAGCTCAGAGAGGTTAGAAAACAATCCCAGGGTCACAAAGTGCTAATGCAGTGTAACTTCCAACAGCCTTGCTACCTACATCTCTGGGACAGTAAGAGCACAACCCCATCCTTACCCTTCTCACAGTATAAACTGCCTGGGTGGCACACAAACCTTGGGGGTAGGTCCATCCCTTCAGTCAGTGTTGAGCACTTGCCCAAAAGGCAGCACATCATTAAGCCTGAAAGCATGGACTTTGGGGCTGAATCATCTTGTTTTTCATCCCACCTCCTCTGCTTCTTGGATGCAACTTGATGCAGAGATAAAATACGATGCTGTGGAAGAGTGCTTAGCACAGAGGAAGCCCTCATTATCTGTGAGTTCCTGGCAGCTGCACTATCCCATGTGCAAGTTTATATACATTCACAGATGGACTCTGCCCTCAACCTCCCCCCACCCTCTCAGACCCCAAGGACAGAAGCTGTTTTTGTTCCCTATAAACCTGTCATGGTGCATAGAACTCATCTTTGCTTCCAGGGCCTCCTACTATAATTAAAAAGACAGACAATAACAAGTGCTGGTGGAATGGGGAGTGGTCAGAACTCACATCCTTTGCTGCCAGCAGCACTTTTGGAAAACTGCCAGGTCCTCAAAGTTTAGATAGAGTTACCACTATCTAGTAATACCATTTTTAGATATATACCCCCAAAAATAGAAAATAAGTATCCATACAAAAACTTATCCATGACTATTCATAGTAACATGATTTCCAATGGCCAAAAGGTGGACACAATTTACATGTACATCAACTGATAGATGGATAAACAAAATGTAGTAAATCCATGCAATGAAATATTGTTCAGCCATAAAAAATGAAGTCTTGATACATGCTCCAACTTGGATGGATATTGAAAACCTTAAGTGAAAGAAGCCAGACACAAAAGGTCACATACTATATAATTCTATTGGTATAAATGTTGAGAGTGGGAAAATCCATGAACACAGAAAGTAAATTAGTGGTTGCCAGGCATGGTGGTGCATGCCTGTAATCCCAGCATTCCAGGAGGCTGAAGCAGGAGGATCACAAGTTCAAGCCCAGTCAGGGCAACTTAGTGAGACCCTGTCTCAAAATAAAAAATAAAAAGGCTAGGCTTGTATCTTAGTCAAAGGTTTTGGGTTGAATCCCCAATGAGAGAGAAAGAGAGAGAGAAAGAGAGAGAGAGACAGAATGAATAATGGTTGCAATGGGCTAGAGGGAGAGAAAAATGGGGATTTCTTTTTGAGGTGATTAAAATACACTAAAATTAGTAATGGTGATGGTTGCATAACCCTGAAAATATATTAAAAACCAATAAATTACACTTTTTTTTTTGCCGGTACCAGGGATCAAACTCAGGACCTTGTCCTTGTGAGGCAGGTGTGGCACCACTGAGCTAAATCCCCAGCCCTAAATTACACATTTTTAAAGGGTGACCATGGTATGTGAATTATTTTTCCCTAGCTTCACTGAGATGATTGGCAAATAAAATTGTGTAATTTAATGTATACAATGTGATAATTTGGTAGACACATTGTGAAGTGATTACTACAATCAGGTTAGTTAATACATCTATATCTCAAGTACTTATCAATTTGTGTGTATGTTAAGAACGTTAAGATCTATTCTATACACATATTTCAAGTATACAGTACAGTTCTGCTGACTATAATCATCATGCTATACATTAGGTTCCCAGAATTTATTCATCTTAGGACTGAATGTGTATAGCCTTTGACCTGGTCACATACTGCCTGTTCCAGATGTGTTTCAATATAAACAGGGGCAGAGGTACCAAGAGTCAAGGCAAGGATCCCCAGCTTCCTCAAATCTGCTCTTCAGTGCTACCACGTGCCATACACCTTGCTGACCATGTTACTGGAAGGGAATCAGTGCAACCGAAACTCTGTTACTGGAGACTCTGCTATAAGTTGGAGAGACACCCATGCCTCTACATTCTCACCTTAGAGGATTCCCAGGACACAAAGCCTGACCTGAGCCCAGGGACCCTATGGCTAGTGAAGATGCAGTACATTGTTCAGCTGGACAGACCCAGGCATGAGTCCTGGCTCCTCAATTCCCAGCAGTGGCCTCAGATAGTTCGCTGCAGCTGCTATCAATTTTATCCTGTACAAAATGGGGCAACCAGAGATAGGATCTAAGTCCCAGGGCTCTAATGAGGATCAGAGATGACAAATGCATAGCACTGAGCACATAGTAGGTCTCAGCAAACACAAGCTATTTTTAAATTAATTCTTTTATTAATTCAACAAAGTCAATGCTCAGTTCTTATGTGCAGAAGAGCAATCAAGGCTCTGAAAATAGAATGGTGAACATCAAAAATAAATGAATAAACAAAGGGATGCCATAGAGTTCTATAGTGGGTGAGAATTAAAAGAAAGCCAAGTGATGGGGAGAGATGGGGCATCCTCAAGCCTCCACCTCTTGGGTGTCTTCATGACCTGTCCCGTTCTTGTGTCAGAGCTAATGGCCACCTGGAGCCTAGTGCATGTGTCTCCTCATCCCCTGCAGGCATGGCCATGGAGATCTTCAGCACCCTAGTGGGTGCTGCCATTCAGGGGCAGCTGGTTGGCCACTTCTATAGCAGCATGAACCAAGATTGCTTAGGACACAACAGCTCCCTTGGCAGCAATGGTAGGAGAACACACCAACTCGCTGGAGAACACAGTAAGGCAAGAAGTACAGCCTCTGTCCCACTCTGTTTGAAACAGAAGAGCCTGCCAGATCAACCCACAGATCAAATGAGTATGTGTTAGGCTTTAGCTTAGGGCCATCCCCCAAGGGACTTGAAATATACTAGTAATAGCTTAAATTGGTGGGCCCATCTCTGGTTCTCTTATGCTTAGTAAATGCCAGAGCCCTTAGCATGGTCTGCCAGGCTACTCAAACTGTTCCTAACTCCTCGCCCCCATCTCCCTCTTCTGCCCAAACTGGGTTCCTTATTGTCCCTCAGCCACGTCTGCTATACTTCTGCCTCAGGGCCTTTGCATGTGTTTCCCCCCTCCCCGCCTTCTCCCACATCTTAACATGACCTGTTTCTTCACATACAAACATTTTTCTTAGGTCTGATCAAATGCCACCTCTGGAAGAGGACCCTGGGTTTATATCTACTTTGACCAGCTTTCTTTTGCTTGATAACAATTTCCCCCACTTTCAGGTTCTGGTGTCCCTCAGATCAGATCATCCTTCCAGTTTTCTTTTCTCCTTCTTTCTTCCCTTCCTATATTCATTCTTTGCTTCTACAAACACTCACTAGTCCTCATTTTTGCCAGGCCTGTAGAGGGTGATGCTAGGATCATGGAAATTAGTCAAATCAAATCCTACCTTCTGAGAGCTCAAAGAACAGTGGGGAAGAAATCAAGTAGCTGAAGCAACTGCAATGCAAAACACTGAGGGCTACAAAGGCTTTAAGTCCCAGAGATCCTAGGAAACATGGAGACAGAGCACATACGGTTGGAATGGTTAGAGTGCTTTGTGGAGGAGGTAGTTCCTGAGCTGAGTCTGGAAAGATCGGATCAGTAGACCTGACTAGATATAATCAATCTATGTGAACAGATAGCACAAGATTTTAAAGTGTATGAATTATTTGTAAGAGGCAACTGTTATTTTTGGAAGAGAAGTTTGTCAAAAAACTCTTCTATAAACCACTGTTTATAAGAAAAGATTTTTTTGTTTTTTGAGACAGGGTCTCTCTATGTAGTTCAGGCTAGTCTTGAACCCACTACATAAATCAAGCTGGCCTCCAACTGGCAATCTTCCTGCCTCAGCCTCCTGCATACTGGGACTACAGGTATGTGCCACCATACCTGGCAAGAAAAGAAATTTGAAAAGGGACAAAGTTGAATAAGTCACACTGATTTCAAGATATGATCAAAAAGAAAGTGCTATATTGAGCCATGGATTTAGCTCAGTGGTTCTGCAACCTGCCTCGAAAGCGCAAGGTCCCGAGTTTGATCCCCTGTACCAAAAAAAAAAAAAGAAAAAGAAAGTGTTGTATTGGCATAAGGATAAACATGGGTATCAGTGGAAAAGGAAGAGTTCTTCAAGGCTCTCCTCATACGATACAAGTATATGGATAATGAGTTTTCCATAATGATTTAAAGAAAATTCAATGGGGAAAACAGCCTTTCAACAAAGGCAAGAAATTTAACCTCTAGAAGCACCACATGGATAATGCCAAGGCCTGCTACCAGCTCTAACAGTGGCCTGGCCCCCTTAGACCATGGCTGCAGTGGTCTCTGAGTGCCAGGATGGCTGAACATCTTCTTCAACAAGTTTGGCTGGGGGCGGGGTTTTTACCTGGTTTGATGGGACTCTTTGGGGCTCTCTGCTAGAATGGGCAAAGAATTCTTCTCTCATGCCAGATACACACTCCTATAGGTCAGAAGATAGAAAAAAAAAGGCTTACTGAGATAGAAATAAATTTTCATTTGAATAAGAAATGGGGAGCTCTATTAAGAACTATGGGGATTTTTGGTATAAGATGTCATATCTGTTACTTAAGTGGATACCAGGCCAGGATGGATGTATGGAACTTCTCCATCTTAATTGCTTTTCACATCAACCCCTACCAATACCTCCACAGTCACATCAAAATTAGAATGCAAGGTGGGTTTGCCCTTTCTAGATAAAGGCCTATGGGGGTGGGGTGGGAGGAGTCAGGGAAACATTACTACTAATACCAGCTCATCTGCATTTCTCAGATATGGCCATGTCTAGAAAAAGAAGTGAATGACTTACAGGTTAGATATACACTAATTCAGTCAACAAGAAATTAATGCGTACCTATAGTAGGCTGAACACAATGGAAGACCAAAGGGGCATGACAGAAAGCAAAACAAATTAGATCCTTGCTCTTATAAAGCTTGTATTTGAGAGATCAGCCATAGCATGATTTGTGGGAAGATTCTAGGCAGGAGAACAGCAAATACAAAGGCCCTGAGGTAGGACTAGATTTAGTGTAGGAGTGACTCTTGGTATAGAAAGGAAAGGCTCCCCAATCTATACAAATAGGAAGCCCTCTGCCACGAGAATATTGGCTCAGTCTTTGAGATTAACTCACCCCTTAAACTTTTTCTCCAGGGATTTTCCCTGCCAGCAGCCATGATGCCAAGTTCTCATTTGACCAAATAAAGTCAGAGTTCTGGTCACCAAAACCTTGATGAGTGGAGAAGAGCTGAAAGAACCGAGAACACAGGGCATAATGTTTTCCTTGGACTCTATTAATAAACTGATGAACCTCTTCATTCTCTGAAGATTCTACTCAGAACAGAGTTGAAGGAAGAAATTCCCTACCTGTAGAGGTTCTCCCTTGGGATCATGATGATGGGAAATCCAAATTTTGTATCTTGCTGTCCTGTGAAGATAACAGAGCACCTTTGACAAGAGCTTCCAAGAAAAGCCCTCCCATGAGTGTTTGAGGCAAAGATGTCATCTGACAAAGTTGAGTGGCATTCCACTGAGAGGGCCCCAGGGTAGGCTATCCAGGTAGGATATCTTACTTTTAAAGATCTATAACTTATTAGCTTTGCTTAGCTTTTAATTAGTTCAGAATCCAATTGTTAGTGACTTCCTATCCAGAGCAATTGGATAAGAAAAAAGAAATAAAGGGCATCTAAATTGGAAAAGAGGAAGTCAAACTATCCCTATTTGTAGACAATTGATCTTATATATAGAAAACCTAGAGGGCCACCAGATTACTGCTACAACTGATAATTGAACCCAGTAAAGTTGCAGGATACAAAATTAACATTTAAAAACTAGTAGCATTTTTATACACTAATAATGCACTGGCTGAAAAATACTAAGAAAGTAATTTCATTCACAATAAATACATGGGAAAAAAATTACCAAAGGAGTGAAAGATTTCTACAATAAAAATTATACAATACCAATAAAAGAAACTGAAAGTGACACACTAAAAATAGGAAGATATCTCATGTTAATGGACTGGAAAAAACCAATAATGTTAAAATCTCCCCACTACCAAAATGACCTAGATCAATCCAATTTCCACAATACTAATGACATTCTTCATAGAAATATTTTTAAAATTCATACAGAATCATAAAAGATCCAGAATAGTAAAAGCAATCCTGAATAAAAAGAACAAAGCAGGACACATCACAATATCTGACTTCAACATGTGTCAAAGATATAGTAACTGTAAAAGCTTGTGTCTAGATGTACCCCTAAAGCCTCAAGCAGTGATAGGTGAGGCTTTTTCAGAAGCAGCTGGATCTAGAGTGTGTGATTGATGGTGCGATGCTAGGATTATGGGTGTAAGTGCTATCCACTCTAAGGGCGGGTAGCCTGGATACAATATAAGTAACAGAAAGAGGCTTGCTGCTATTTACTTGTAGTTTGTCTCTTCCTGGTTGCTACTTCACTGCTGGCTACCTTCTGCCTGCCCTGCTTTGCCATGGACTGTTTCTCCTCTGCGATGCCCCTCTTCCATGCCACCCTGCCTTAGAACCAGTCAACTATGGACTGAAATCTCTACAAACTGTAAGCCAAATAAACCTTTCTTTCTTTAACTTTGGGTGTTGGGTATTTTGTCTCAGCAACGAGAAAAAGTAACTAAGACAGTAACCAAAAGAGAATGGTTACTGGCCTTAAAAAACAGAATAGACCAATGGAACAGAACAGAGAACGCAGAAATAAATCCATGTATTTATAGCCAACTGAATTTTCACAAAAGTGCCAAGAATATACACTGGAGAAAGGACAGTTTCTTCAATAAATGGTGTTGAGAAAACTGAATCTCTACGTGCAGAAGAATGAAATCAGAACACTATCTCTCACCATATAAAAAATATCAACTCAAAATAGATCCAAGATTTGTAAGTAAGACCCAAACTATAAAACTACTAGAAGAAAACATAGGGAAATGCTTCAGGACACTGGTCTGGACAAAAAAAAAAAGGATATGACACCAAACACACAAGTGACAAAAGGAAAAATTAACAAATGGAGTTATATCAAACTAAAAACTTTTTGAATAACAAAAGAAACACTAATAGAGTTAAAAGATAACCTACAGAATAGGAAATATATTTGTGAATTATTTATCTAGGAAGGCACTAACATCCAGAATATATAAGGATCTCAAACATCTCAACAGCAAAAATAAATAAATGAATAAACAAGCAAACAAAAACCAAGTTATATAATTTTAAAATGGACAAGTTATCTGAATAGATATTTCTCAGAAGATATATAAACAGGGAATCAGGAATTTAGCTCAGTGGTTCTGCCGCCTGTCTTGCAAGCGCAAGGTCCCGAGCTCGAACCCTGGTACCAAAAAAAAAACAAAAACAAGATATAAGATGTATAAACAGTCAAATATATGAAAAAGTATTAAATATCACTAATAAAAATATAAATCAAAATCACAATGAAATATCATCTCACTTAAGTTACAATGGCTATTCTCAGAGTTTCAATCTTAAATGTCCCCTAAGGCCCACATCTTAAAGGCTTGGTTGCCAGCCTGTGACACTACTGGCAGGGGGGTGTAACCTTTACAAAGCAGGGCTTAGTGGAAGGAATTAGATCACTGGGGCATGCCCTCGAAGAGACTATTGGAACCCTGGCCATTTCCTTTCTCCCTCACTTAGCTGCCTGGCCACCATGAAGTGAACAGACCTCCTCTATGGTCTCATACCATGATGTGTTATGCTGCCACAGGCCCAAGGCAATGGAGACAAGCAACTGTGGACTGAAACCATGAATCAAAATAAACAAAATAAACATTTCCTCCTTTTAAGTTGACTGCCTCAAGTATTTTTTTAAAGTGACAGAAAGCTAACACGGCCATTATCAAAAAGATGAAATATAACACCCTGGTGAGGACACACAGAAAGGGAACTCTCGTGTGTTATTGAGATGTATTAATGTAAATTAGTACTTAATAATGTCAATTAGTATAGCCATTATGGAAAATAGTGTGGAACTTCCCTTTAATTACCCAATGAGTCAACATTCCCTCTACTGGGTGGGTGGGTGTGTGTGTGTGTGTGTGTATTTTTTTTTTTTTTTTGGTACCAGGTATCCAACTCAGGTCCTTGCACTTGCGAGGCAGGCGGTGGAACCACTGAGCTAAATTCCCGGCCCCCTGGGTATATACTTTTTTAAAAAAGGAAACCATTTTGTCAAGAGGTACCTGAACTATCTTGTGTTCTGCATCACTATTCATGATACCCAAGATATATAAATCAACCTAAGTGTCAGCAAGTGGATACGTGAATAAAGAAAATGTGATGCACATATACATATATTTGAGAACATTATTCATCCATAAAAAGAATGGAATCCTGTCATTTGTGGCAACATGGATGAATAATGTATGTTTTCATTGACATATGAAGTTACATCCATAGATGTAGAGAGTGGAATACTGTCACCAGCTAGGAAGCATGGAGCGAGGGGGATATAAAGAAGAAAGGTAACAGGTACAAGGGTGCAACTGGATAGAAGGAATGAAAGGTGTTCTGTAGCACAATAGAATAACTATAATTGACAATAATTAACTGTATATTTAAAAATAGCTATTAGGGGGAAATTTGACCATTCCTCCATACAAAGAAATGATAAATCTCTAAGATGATCAATACGCCAATTACCCTGATCTGATCATTATATATTGTATACATGTATTGAAATAGGACACTGTACCCTATAAATCTGTACAATTCTTATGTGTCTGTTATAAATTTTTCTTTTTTTTGGTACCAGAGATTGAACTCAGGACCTTGCGCTTGAGGCAGGTAGTGGAACCACTGAGATAAATCCCCAACCCTCTGTTATAAATTTTTAAAACCTAATAGATTCAAAGGGAACCAGAACCACCTGTGGAGAAAACCTCATAATAAACTTAGCAGAGAATACTGTATAAACCAGGCACTGGTGTTTAATTTTCAATAAGAAAACTGTATCTAAGTCCATTCTGCCACATGTAACAGAAATATGAGTACAGTGTGATGGTAAAACCAAATAAGGGCTTTATTTTTCTCACACAAGTCTGGAAGCAGGCACTGCTTCTGGGATTAGGGAAGAGCAATAGCATTAGTGACCCAAGCTCCTTCCAACTCTCTGTCATGTGATCTTCATCCTTATGAATACAATGTGGCTGCTGTACTCCATGGTCACGTACCCTAGGTAGAAAGACAAGTAAATGGTGAGAGCAGAATACCAGCTGAATTTATTCTTTTTAATTTTAAAAATTAATTGTACTAGATATATATCTATATACATATATATCACATATATATACACACATATATATATATCACATATATATACACACACATATATATATCACATATATATATATATATATATCACATTCATCATAGGGAATTTGCACCTGTACGTAATATATCGATTTTTTTCCCCAATCTCCTCCCCTCCCTTCAATCTCTCTTACCCTCCTCATTTATAAAAGTTTTGTTTCCATGTTTTTCTTCTTTTTCTTTCCCCTTTCTTCCTTTCCCCCTATTTGTTTTTTTAAAGGCAGGAATACAATGTATTTCTCAGAAGACCCAGACAGGAGACTTACGTTTTCATTTCATTAGCCAGACTTATTGACATGGCAAGTGCTAGCAGCAAAGGAGCCTGTGTACGGGTGTGCATGGGGGAGATAGTGATGGATGGATGTTTAATGAGCACTTTACAACTCTGCACAAAAATCTGGTTGTGAAGTAAGGAGGAAAATGGGTAGATGGCAGTATCTAGCACAAAACTAGTTACATAGCAAACCAAATACTCCTGTTCACTGGTATGCATTCTTTCCTAGTAAATAAATCTAGATGAGAAGCTGACTAAAATTTCCTAGTAAATGCTGAGTCTGAACCAAGGTGTTAACTAAGAACAGTGATAGCTGTTATTGGGTGCCTACTGTGTGTGTGTGTAAGCAGATTTAAAGGTGAAGATTCTTTGCAGAACTTTGAAGTTCCCTATAAAAGTGTTATTGCTCAGAAGGCTCTCAAACATCTGCTGTGTCAGAGAGGCTGCTAAATGACCACCAAATCCAGTACCATCTCCTAGCTAGGTACAATTCCCAGCCTCCCTTGCAGTTGAGTATGGCCAGTGTGACTAAATTTCCTCTGTTGGAAAAGACTGGTGCCACTCCAAGCCTAGCCAGGGAAGCCTCCCATGCCCACTCCTTGTACCCTTTATTCCTGCTCTTGAACTGAAGTGAAAAGGGTGACTTTGGTGCTAAGTGCTGACAATGGCACACTCTAAGGCAGCCTATGTTCCTGAATGGCAACATGAAGTAGAGTACTTACCACTTCTGCTGGAGTAATTGCTCTGGAACGTTCCATAAGAAAGAAACTTTTTGTTATGCTCAAGTGTTTATACCATGGGTCTACTTATGAAGTAGGTGGTTAGCCCAGCCTAACCATGATCCTAGCCATTTAGTTTTTAAGTCTAACATGGATAATGTTCTTTCTCCCATCTATCAAATTATCTGGCTGTGACTCATTTTAGTTTAAACGTGTTTTCTCCTTCTTCCTGCTTTCAGGAAGAAGCAGGAAGGTCAGAATGCTCTTCTTTTGGGAGGGAACAGTCCTAGAAAATAATAATTGACCCTATGAGAGTGGGAAGCCTTAGCTTTGGTTTAGTGATACACTAAGAAGATGAGGTTAAAATGACCTAGGCCTATACTCTCAGTGAAATAAATAGGACACACATGTAAATACTGCATAGTTTCTTTGGTGTGAGAAACTGAAAGTGTAGATAAGGATTAAAATGAATAATTGATAATGTGAAATAGGAAAAAAAGGTCCAAAGGGAAAGGGAAAGTGGGAGGAGTAGGGGAAAGGAAAGAAGAGAAAGGAAAAAATATGAGAAAAGAAAAAAAAAGCAAAGTCTTTGTAAATAGGGAGGGGTGGAGGGGTTGAAGGGAGGGCAGGGGAATGGGGAAAAAATAAGAACCAAGATATATTATGTAAAGGTACAAGTTCCCAATGATAAATGTAAATGTACTGTGTACCTAAAATGTACCAATAAAAGAATTAAAAAAAAAAATAACCTAGGCCTACTGGAGAGAGAACTTGCCTGGGACTGGGATACCATGTGCGCATTCAGCAGAAGTTGATTGCCTACCCAAGCTCCCCATCAGATGTCAGGAACTCACAATGAACAGACATTTAGTCTCTTCCAACTCCATGGCAGGATATACATAGTGTGGAATTCAGAAAAACAGAAGGCATAGCTCTTCCATAAAAGGTCTCCTCTAGTACAGTAGAACATGCAGAAGCCAAAGCATGTAGCTGAATTATGACTCATGCACATTTATCCTTCATAAGCAAATGAGAGTGAAATTGAAAGAATGCCGCTCAACAATAAAATTTTTTAAAAACAAATTCAGCAAGAAAAAACTACTTACTTAGCAGAAGAAAGTAGAATGATGATTACCAGGAACTGGGGGTTGAGGGATGGGGACTTAGTGTTTGATGGACATGAGTTTCAATTGGGGAAGGTGAAAACATTCTGAAGATAGATGGTAGTAATTTTTATACTGTATGTGTGTACTTAATGCCACTGAACTGTACTAGCACTATTATGGTAGTTAGCAGCCACAAATGGCAGTCCAAATTTAAATTAATTAAAATTATATAGAATAAAAATTACATTTCTCCATTTGCACTGGCCATATTTAAGGGATGAATAGCCATGTGTGACTAGTGGAAACAGTACTGGGCTGTGCACATATAGAATATTTCTATTGTTGTAGAAAGTTCTGTGGGACAGCATTGTTCCAGGACAAACCTACAAGGATGGAAATAAGAACAGTGATTGGCTCTTAGTGATGTAGTTGACTGGAAAGGGATAATAGGAAACTTTCTAGGGTAGTGGTGTAGGAGAAGCAAAATTTTACCAATGATCTCTTAGAGTCTTCAAATGGACCTGAGAAGTAAATTGACAGAATTAAAGGAGAAGTATATGAGTGTAATATAAGTTTTACGTGACTTGGAAGCCTTCATAAGCGAATGAAGACAAAGAGAAGATGCAAAATCTAGGTGCTTATATATATTGAGTTGTACAAAGAGAAGCAATTGTAGAAAAGTAACTAGTACGTGTGGGCAATCAAAAGGAAGAATTGTACTGAATTTCCTTGTCCTTGACTCCTAGTCTCTGACAATAGAATGTTTTTTCCTTCTGGTAAAGGGAAGACAGCTTTTACATGGACATTTTCTCTCCTGCTTTCAGGAAGAAGAGAGGAAGTTAGAATACTCTTCTTACACATGCTGTTTTTCAAATGCCTTCAGCTCAAAATAATCCTTATGTCAAAGTAGTATATTCTGCCACCCTTCCTTTGCAATACTGTGCATCTCATTTTGGATGTTGGCTAAAATAGTGTATGCATTTTTCAGTAATAAAGAGTGGTCATCTGATGCAATGGGCATCAGGTAAGAGACAAAGATCTGTTTCCCCTGGGCTCTAACCCTGGACTCCCAGAGTGAGAGCATTTGAGGTGTGGAGGGGACTCTGGGTTTACATCTCACATACACATTACGGACTTCTCTGCTGCTCGGCTGAGTAGAAGATCGAAGGAGAGTTTTTGTTGGACTCACTGGAAGGTACAGTGCCTCCAACACACTGCCCTCTGACACACTATAAAGAGTAATATTGGCCGGAGGTTTAGTTCAGTGGCGCCAGTGCCTGCCTGGCAAGCACAAGGTCCTACATTCTAAAAGAGTAATGTTGTCTTTCTGGAATTGATGCCATTCACAGTGTTTTGGCTCTCCTGTAGTTGACAGAGTGGCTGAGATATACCTCCAAGCCCTTCCCCAGTCCAGATAATAGGAAGCAGCATTTGTTTTCTCCTGCTGTGGCTCCAGGATGCAGAGAAAAACCATAGAACCATGGGATCCAGATGGATTTGGACACATTTCTAGATGCTTGTAGATTAGTTTCCTGAGGCCGTTGTAGAAATTTACTGTAGATACAATTGCTTAATACAATACAAATTCACTCACTCACAATGCTAGAGGTCAGCAGCCTGAAATTATCTCAGGAGTAAAACTAAAGGGGCTATGCTCCGTTCAGAGCCTCTAGAAGAGACTCTTTCCTTGGCTCTTCCTTAGCTTGTGAGCTTATCACTCCAGTTTTTAAGGCTGGCATCTTCAAATATCTGAGCTCCACAGTCACAGCACTTTCTTTTCTGTGTGCATGTACAGGGGCCAAATTTCCCCCATTTTCCTCTTTATACATGAAATGGTATTTAAGGCCCAACCTGATAATCCAGGATAATTAACCCATCTCAAGATCCTCAACTAATTAATCACACCTTGACAAAGGCTCTGTTTCCATGTAAGGTAACATTTATGGGCTCCAGGGATTAGCACCTGGTATTCTGGAGAAGCCCCTTTTTCAAGGTAACACATACAGTACAGCCATAGATAAGTTACCCAAAGTTGCCAAATCTCAGCTTCCCTTCTGTAAGAGAGCATTAATAATGTCATGATCAGAATTTTATGCCACTATATGCAAAATACCTACCCCTACATTTCTTGCCATTGAGTCAGCTACCTGTTGCCTTGCTAGACAGTGAAAAGACCCTTTCCTGGTAGTCAAGGGCAGCTGAGTCCTCTGTCTTGGTCCTTGGTACATACTGTTTGGTGACTCCTTCTAGAGCCACTGATGTCTTGAGCCCCAAAGCCATATAAGAGGTATAGTTTAGTTTATATCCTCGCAAAAAAGAAATCTCCTGATGTTTAAATAGCTGAGAACAACAGAGCAGAAAAATTGCTGTCAGCAAAGCCCAGGAACTTCCAGCATGTGTAAGCCTATAACTGTCGACGTAGTCTATGAGAGAAGAGTCAAGAGGATGGAGAATCTTGTCTCTTCCACTTTTCCCAGGAAAGCCCTATCACACAGGGCCTTGTAAGACTCCTCAGTTTTTTTGTTTTATTTTGAGTGTAGTAGAAAAGGGAACAACGACTGGGATTTCAAAGGTCATCTGAGAATGTCTGTTCTGAAACTGGGATGCATTCTCTCTGGGAGCTGAGAGTGGAATCACCCTCACTTCCCATAGTCATGCAACACTCCAACATAGTTCTTCCCCACTGCCACCTTTCTTGTCCTATTAAGCCCGGAACATTAAGATTCCAGGTGTTCTCATTTCTGGAGCCAGGAACTTCTATTACACTAGTGGTTTTCCAAATGTGGTTCTCAGGCCAATAGTGCCACATGGGAACTTGTTAGGAGTACAAATTCTTTAGTCAGATCTCATATCCACAGAATGAGAAACTGGGGATGAAGCCCAGCAATCTGGGTTCTACCCTATGATTCTGATGCACACTTAAGTATGAGAACTCCCTATAGTCATTACACACTACACACACACAGACACACAGCATCTAATTAATCAGCAGGTGCAGCCTTTGTAGATCAAGTGATCTGTGAGTTTGGGGGTCATATTTCCTAAGAATCTTTTAGCTGACAATAACAGAAAGTCCAATTCAAACTAGCAAAAAGGAGAATTAGCCTACATAATGAAAAACTTAAGTCATCTAGATTCAGACACTGCTGAATCTAATTAGTAACTGCATCCAGAAGAATCAGAGATTTAACTTTGTGCTATGAAATGAATGGTGCCCCCTCAAATCCGCATGTCAAAGCTCTAGCCCCAAATGTGATGGTGTTTGGAGATGGGACTTGTTATGGTTTGTGTCTAGATGTCCCCCCAAACCTCGAAGTCATGCTTTTCAGAAGTGGCTGGATCTATAGGGTGACTCTGGGATTAAGTGTGTAATTACTAAATTAGTCCACTGATTGGTTTGGCATAGTTCTGAGTGTGGATAATGGGAAGGACTGCCCTGGGTGTGAGTGCTACCTGCCCTCAGGGCACATAGCCTGAATAGAATATAAGGAACAGAAAGAGGGATGGTGTCACAGCTTGCTGCTTTGATACTTCACCTCTTGCTGCCTTCTGCTTACCATGAATTGTTTCTCCTCTGCTATACCACCCTGCCTTGGCAGTCAGCCAACTATGAACTGACACCTCTACAAACTGTTAGCTACAACAAACCTTTTCTCCTTTAACTCTTGAGTGCCAGGTATTTTCTCAGTAATGAGAAAAGTAACTAAAACAGGACCTTTAGCAGGTAATCTTGAGTTAAATGAGGTCATTAGGTTAAGATAGATCTTCATGATGGGATTAGTATCCATACAAGAGGAGACACCAGAGTCCTTCTCCCTTCTACGTGAGGCAACAGCAAGAAATAGGCCACCTGTAAGCCATGACTAGCAGTCTTTACTAGGACCCAACTATGTTGGCACTCTGATATCAGGCTTCTAGCCTCCAGAACTGTGATAAAATAAACTTCTGTAGGGCCAGGGATTTAGCTCAGTGGTTCCGGCGCCTGCCTCACAAGCACAAGGTCCTGAGTTCGATCCCCGGTAACAAAAAAATAAAATAAAATAAACTTCTGTTTTTTAAGCCATCCAGCATGGGACTGGAAGTGTAGTTCAGTGTAGAGCTTCCCTTTATGCAAAGGCCTGGGATCTGATCACCAGCATTGTGGGGGGCCCCAGATTACGGTATTTTGTTATGGTAGCCTAAGCTGACTAAAACATTTTGTGTGGATCATACATAGTTATCGTCTGAATGTCTATATCCCCTCCTCTGTAAATTCAAATGTTGAAACCCTAATCCCTACACTGGTCAGCTTTCCTGTTGCTAGGACAAAATACTTGACATCTTCAACTTAAAGGATGGGAGGTTTAATTTGGCTCATGGTTTCAGGGGATTAATTCCATTGTCTGCTAGTTTCAAGACAAAAACATCATGATGGAAGGGAATGGAGGAAGAAAGCTGCTCACTTCATAGCAGCCAAGAAACAGAGGAAGGAGAAGCCAAGCCAGGGAAGGGGATATATCTTCCAAAGGGATTCCCTCAATAATACATCTCTTTCAAACAGGCCCCTTAGTACATTTAGCTATGAACTCACTGATGGATTAATCCACTGATGAATATAGCACCCCATGATCCAATCACCTTCCAAAAGCTCCACCTATGAATATATAAGGCTTTGGGGGGGGGACATTTTAGATCTAAACCATAATAACTTCCAGGGTGATAGTATTAGGGGTGGGGGGCAGTAGGCAGTAATAAAGACATACGCAGAGCCTCATAAATAAGATTAGTATCCTTATCAAACAAGCCGAGACCACTCACCACTTCCACCATATGAGTGCACAGTGAAAAGGTACTGACTGTAGGCCAGAACACCAGATATGGAATCTGCCTTGATCCTGGACATGGATTTATAAACTTCTATTGTTTATAAGCTATTTATCTTATGGTATTTTGTTTACATCAGCCTGAAAAGACTAAGGAATATGCACATCCCTAAGTCAACCACTGTATCTAAGGAGATACATAGCTCCAGCTGACCAGAATTCAGTCACATGCTGGAGCTATGTTCCACTTAGATATTACTGCTGAGGGGTGGAAGAGAAGTGCTTCCATACACGAAAATCAAAGTGCTGTTCTTTAAAAAAAGGCAAACACACAACAGTTTGCCATAAAAATGGATATTTTTAATAAGGCATCTGTATTTTACCTAGTTTCTTTTCCCTCAAGCCTTCTACCTTGTGCTGTACTAAATAGTTTCAGTCATGCCCTGACACAGCAATGCATCTCACCTCCCTGTCCTGCTTCTTATCAAGTTTAAGGCCTTCAGGGTTGGCCTACTGCACTCACCCTTTAACCACAAATAGCAGGGCCATCCCTGGGGCTCTTTCAACACTGAGCTCTCCAAAGATGAACAGTCCTATGCCTGAAGGCAATGGGTTTCTTGTCCATGGAAGTATTAAAGCAAAACCAGGGCAGGCCCTTAGAAGCTTGTCTATTGAGGAGATTCCAGCATTTGAGTAAGGCCGAGGCAAAGAGGGTCTTAGATTGTGTCTCCTAAGACTTCAGGAAGGCTAAAATGTATTGATTCCATCTACTGGTGAATGTCTGAAATTGCACCATAAGAGAATGACCCTTAATCAGGAGACTCAAACCTTTAAATATAAGCCTTTAAAATACAGAACAAAGATATTGTTAGTCCTTATACATTGAAACTTTGAAAAATCCACAAGGTTTTCTCCAGGTTTTGAAAAAAGAGGGAAATGGGAATTGTTATGACTTGTGTCTAGATGTCCCCCGCACACCCTCAGGCAGTCACAGGTGGGGCTTTTACAGAGGTGGCTTAATCCAAAGTGTCACTGATTCATGGTGCAATGGTAGGATTAAAGATTCTAGGATTAAGGGTGGGTGATTACTTAATCAGTCCACTGATTGGTTTGGCACTGCCCTAATCTCGGTAGCCTGGGTACAGTGTAAGGGACAGAAAGAGGCTTGTCTTGCCCCCTTGGTTGCTTTGGTACCTTCTGCCCACCATGAATTGTTTCTTCTCTGAGATGCTTGTCTGCCATGCCACCCTGCCTTGGAGCCAGTCAATTATGGACTGAAACCTCTACAAACTCTGAGCTAAATAAACCTTTCCCCCTTTAACTCTGTTTTGTTTTGTTGTTTTTTGGGGTTTTTTTTTTTGGTACTGGGGATCAAACTCAGGACCCTGCACTTTCAAGGCAGGCGGTGCCACCACTGAGCTAAATCCCTGCCCCTTTCCCCCTTTAACTTTGGGTGTTGGGTATTTTGTCTCAGCAATGAGAGAAAAGTAACAAAGACAGGAGTCAAGAAGGAAGAGGCTTGGGATGTTTGGCAATTGTTCCTTGTATGTGGGTCTCAGATGCCATCTGCTTTCCTGGGATTATAGGTAGGTTGTTTTTTTTTTGGTACCGGGTATCGAACTCAGGTCCTTGCGCTTGCAAGGCAGGCGACAGAACCACTGAGCTAAATCTCCGGCCCTATAGATAGGTTTTATCTCTTAGCTTTGAAATACAGCCTAATTGCTGTGTATGCCAAGTTGAGTATTACCATGTTAGTGCTCTATGATAATAAGAACAGGCGGACTCAGTTATCACAAGGGAAAGAAGCCCAAATTTGAATTTCGACTCAGAATTGGGCTAAGGGACTGGAGGTGACCAGTTCACCAGCTACTTAGTCATCTCTATATTATCAAAGCTTTTCCCTGCATGTCCTCTGTAGAAATCTTGTAACCAGTGAACAGTTCAGCTAGGTCAGCAGGAGAGCTCTATGGAGATCATGGGAACATAATTTCTCCTGGGGTTGGAAAGTGACACCTTATTTTCTTAGATTGGTGCTTTTGTATCTAAATCCCCTCTCCCTTTTTTTATTGTGGTAAAATACACATAAAATTTACTCTTAACCATTTAAGAGTATACCATTCACTTATATTGTGTGACCACACCACCATCTATCTCCAAAACTGTTTTCATCCTGCAAAACTGAAAATCTTTAGCCATTAAGGAATAACTCCATTCCTCCTCCCCTGCAAATTTTTACAACCACCACTCTATAATTCTGACTACCCTAAGTAGTTCATATAAGTAGAAACACGCAGTATTTGTCTTTTTGTGACCAGCTTATTTCACTTAGAATAATGAATGCCCTTAAGGCTCATTGGTAATGTAACACAGGCTAGAATTTCTTTCCTTTAAAAAAAATTGTATGGAGGCTTCCCATTATAGCCTTCATTCAGATTCTACCTTATCATTTTCCCCCTGTGTCTCTGGAAAAAGATCATCTTTAAAATCAAAGGGGACAATGTCTGACTTAGGTGAAACAGAAAAGTACAATACACCCTTTGTTCCCAATAAATGCAACTTTAAAACCTGGACAAAATGTATACAGTAGCTCTTAAGGAACTCTGAAAAATAAACAGTAGCAGATATGTTTAAGGAACAAAACTGGAGTTTGACATACCACCAAGCCAGAAGTGAGTTTATCATTTCTTTCCCACCACTATTTCCCAGCATGTTTTCAATTCAGCTTAAACCCTGGAAGTACACACCAGGACAGACAGAGAAAATTACAGATGCCTTCTATTGCTGCTACAGGGTAAGAAGCAGAAGGTCTTCTGGTTCCCAAGTGGATATCTATCACGTTTTTAAAAAAAATAAATTCTATTCACTCATACCTCATCCCCCAGGAAATACCTGTAAGGGTGGCAGCCACAGCAATGATGGTCTTCACTTGCAGACTTGCAGACCCTAGAACTGAGAGATTAGATAGCCTCAGCCTAATCTGATCACACAAAAATGCCTGTTAACACAAAAATACCAAATTCTCCACAAGATTTTTTTTTAATTCTATTATTGCATGATATTCAAAATAGCTAGGATATAATCCCAAACTACTTGACATGTAAATCTGAAAATCTCAATTTGCTGGGCCAAGTGGTACACACCTGTAATCCCAGCACTTGGGAGGCTGAGGCAGGAGAATCACTGAAAGTTCCAGGCCAGCCTGGGCTACAATAGTGAGTTCAAAACTGGCCTGAATTACATAGCAAGACCCTGTCTCAAAAAAA